TACGTATACTAAACTATTGGTGTTAACAAGATATCAAGATATTTTCTCAACTTGTCTGCATACATCTGCTTAAAGTTCCACAGTTCGTCAGTTGTTGAGATTGTCAAGATTCAAATATACCATCTTGGTCTACGGTTATAGCACACATACTAAACTATTGGTGTTAACAAGATATCAAGATATTTTCTCAACTTGTCTGCATACATCTGCTTAAAGTTCCACAGTTCGTCAGTTGTTGAGACTGTGACTTGAGTCTATCCGGAGAGAGATTGATTGGTAACGATCGATATCGTGTTGACAAGTTTGACCCTAACCGGTATCAACAACCTCTTGTCAAATGAGGCTGCCTCTCGCACAGTCATCGATCTTCCGATTTTCCTAAATCCGAGAGCGAAGTGAACGGGTTGGTTTATTATATAGCGCTTTAATTGCTCTGTGGAGACTTCCCCGAGCACGATCTGATTCCCAGACGGGGTCCTGATCTAGCCGCCCCCGCGTGTGGACCAGGCGGGGCCCGGTGTGTTCACGCCCCGCCTTATAACTACCTGTCTTACCCCTGCCGTCAGGCGGTCTTGTTATGAAATCACCGTGAGGAGTCCTACCGGGTGGCATACGGGAACCCCCGGGTAGTCACGCCGAGAAAACTTCGGTCTCCCTGCGGTGGATACACGGCCACCACGCCGAGAGAGACACCCCCAAGCCACGGGGTGCTTTTTATCCAGGTGAACATTTCTCTATAGCATTCGTTTATTCTTTTTATTCGGTCGGAAGGAATTGAGATTATTTATCTGTGAAGAGATCTGTTTACTATAATCAGCGATCCCACGGTTGTCACTAAACCTCAAACTCTTAGTTTTGATAATAATAATACTTTAAATGCACTCTGATTCTGTTAAAATTCCTTCCTTTTAAGCATTTCTACTGCATGTCAGGTTTGAACGAAACATTGAAATTCGCTGCTTTGTTTTAACTATAATTGAATAAAGAGAGAGACTAGGCAATGACATGGTAATACGTGTTGGCTCGTAAACAATCTAAAATTCTCGATGATATTTCTGAAGAAATTCGCGTAAAAGTATAGACAAGACCACGAAGCTGAGTTTTAAGTGTTTTGAAATCTTTTTTAGATTCGCCATTTTTGTGTGTAGATGAACAAAATGAGCTCCATTTTCTCCCTAGACCCCCCGAACTGCCTCACAAAGAAAGGGGCGTAAGGATACACTGACCTAATTGTTGTAAACGTTCTTTTGTGTCAAACATCAAGACGAATTAGATGTTGGTAAACTCGTCCGATTTTTCACAACTTCGACCGTAAAGTCTTTCCTACTCTGTTAGCTCTTCTTCGCAGTTAACGTTGTTAAAAATCTTGATAAAATGTGACTATCTTGTCTGTTCCATGTTTGTGCTATCCCCGCTGAGAAGTTTACCTCCGTGTTTATTTGTTTTCCATGCTTGGGTAGTTGTTTAGTCTGTAGAAGTTGGCTTTCCGTACAGGCCCGGGGATATTCCGTAGGTTGTCGAGTGACGACACCGTACAACAAAAAAGCCCGGGCCTTTCCCGCGTTTCTGCCCGTGAGAACGGTATTAGCGGTGGCGTCTGTCTGCTCAGACAATAGACAATATGGCCTTGTTTTTCCCACGTCTGCGACAACGGAAGAATCAGAAATCTAGCAGGGGGCATGCACTGTCGCACAAAATACGTTTGTCGCCGTAACGTCGTGTTTTGTCGTAAACCCGCGGTCAAAAGTCGTAGGACGTCGTACGAATTTGTTGGCTTAGAATTTTAACTTATTGTGAGAGAACCAACCTTTGAGAAGGATCATCTAGGATCTAAAGCAGCCCTTTTCGTGACAAGACAACGATACGACACATGTACAACTATCCTAAGAATCATTGTACAAGCGTACTACGAATGTTAGGCGTTTTGTGAGTCAAGACTTTCCAGAAATTATTGTTTATGAATGATGACGCTTTCTTGACATTATGTACAAAATTTCACCTTACCTAATAGATTTTGCTCTAGCTAGATATAAAAATGCAAATACAAACAAACAAACAAACAAACAAAAGATACCATGCGCTCGCTAATATTTTTCAAAAACAACCTGTACAAAGAAGAATGCAGGCTAGACATTTCATACAACGGGTAGTATGTCACAATAGAGCACCTCGAACGCTGAGGCATTCAGAAAATGTACATTGTTACAGGAAAAAAAGTCTCTCAGTGTGTCCTTAATGTAGAAGCAAACACAGAAACTTTTCGACTTCGATTTTTCTCTCTCGTGTCAACTCTCAGCTGTTTGTACACCTGGCCTGACAGAGTTTCTCCCCACTTCACCTCAATTAGCTCACCACTTGACGAAAGTATCTTTTGGAAAACCCTTTTTAAAGATGGCGCCGTAGAACGATTGGTGCCATACATGGGCTCTATCTGGTGATAGCAACATTCTTCTTCTTGAACATCTTTTATCTTATCTATCCTGAAACAAGGTAGACGTCTGCACGACAAGATAGTAAAATCTTAAAGGTACAGAATCATAAGTCCAATAGTGAAGGTTTTCTTATGTAACAATTACTAACATGTAAGGGGACCGTAAGAGTGTGTATCGTAGCAAATACATTTGATTTAGGCTTCAATTGCACGTGAGCATGACATTGAATTTTGGGGTGCAAGTTTTTCATGTTTGAACTAATCTGTTTTGGATTCTAAACTGTACTGGGGAAAGATTGGGGGAGGGGGTCTTCTCCACACCAACACTTAATAACTAAGGAAATAGAAAGATGTTCTACAACTTTCGAACCTTCAACGACTTTATCTTGAACGTAGCAACACAATGAAATCGTGAACAATCCAGCATAAACACGACTACAAGGCGACTTGTCACTGTAAATACAAACTATAGGAATTTTTACTTTGAAAATCCAGTTTTAATGGTCGACCAAAAATCGCACTGGATGCTTTTTAAAGGCATCTAATTTTTCACAGAACGCTTCTTGCAAGGTTGCATTGGAGTGAAATTAAACCAGATAAATACATTCTCAAGTTGACGCTATACAGTTCTATATGCTTAAACGTTACGTTACTATAGTCTTCCTGTGTGTTTTAACTCTGAGCTGGTGTATTCTCCAAGCAGAGGTATAGAGATACTTCAGCTTTATTTTTGGAGTGTTTCTGTTTTCTTTGCGTTTTTATCGACCTTTCTTTTTTGACTTGCGTAACAAAAAGATATAAGTACAAAGAAGAAATCCCAATAAAAATAATGTTGAAATACCTTTATTGTACATTCATGCCACGACGGGCTAGGTACAGGTCAAGATATAACAGACACATAACAAACGTGTGTAGAAAAGTGGAAACAAAAGATACACTACTTGACTTAGACATACATACATAAGGAACATACAGGGTACTATACTAGGCTAATACAAAGTGTTCTAGTTACTGAGATAATACAGAGTGGTCAACTTCTTCTCGCTTTTTTGTACAGTGGAAAATGTGGGAGCAGATCATGTTTGTGATACAGGGTTTGTCTAGACGCATCAAAAATATAAATTTATCATTTGCACTTAGGTGTTCAAAGTACGGAAACTTCTCTTTGATATAATTAAAAAGGACAGATCTTTCATTAGTACAGCCTAAATTTCATACCCAAACCTCTGCTTGGAGAGTATAGCTGGCGGTACATGTAAGATACTGTGATCTGAGGTCCTGTTGCATGCCCGTAGCCAGGGGGGGGTTCGGGAGGGTCGGAA